GTGGTCAGATCATCAGCCTGCCCACCAAAGGGTCCTTTCCTGGTCAAAGCCTGGGTTGCAAGAGGCAGCCAATCAATATGTCTCTCTCACATCAAAATCTCTTTCTCTCCCCCTCCTTCCCTCCCTTCCACTATCTCTAAAAATCAATGGGATAAAGATCATACTTGGGTGAAGATTAATAATAACAACAACAAAAAAGTGGTTCCTGGAAAAAACACAGAGGAGAATTTTGAGTTTTGAGTTAAATTCTCTAATTCATTTTTTAAATGAACTGGAAACAAATAGAATGATGGGTGAGATCAAAATGGTTTTCTTAAAGGGAGTCATGTCCTCTGGCCCAAGTACTGAAATGAACTTTGGATGATCATTTCCCTGGTTTGATAGGGTTAGGGGTTAGACAAACTATCAACCAAGAAAATGCAATTCCCAAAGACTGTGGGGTAAAGTCAATGCTCTGGGTGTTATATATACCCACGGAGCCTAATGAACTCAGAGCAAAGTATGCTTTGATGATTAAGTACAAGTTTCCTGAAAAGGGATATTACTGTAGAGACCATAGATAGCTGTTTGCTGGATCTGCCCTCCATGCTCCTGTTTGCATTTCAGCATTCCACTGACAGACATAAATAGAAACAGAGAGTGAACTGCCTGTTTCCTTTCGTCTTTAATTTAACAAAGAAATAAGATATCCTGTGCATTCTGAAAAACATCATACAAAATTAAGAAGTGAAGCTAAATAAATGGGGATGAGAATAAAAGGAGCCCAGAGATTCTAAATCTAGGGAATTATTTTTCCAACAATAAGCCAAATGGCTCCATTCTCCTATGTCATAACTAGAAGAAGCCTGGCATCCTTTCTGAAGTAAGGCAGATATAAATCAATCAACCTTCTAATTAGTTAACCTTAAGTTTAGAATAACTTTCAGAGGGACTGGCATAATTATTATATCTAGGTACCTTGTAAACATTAACAGACTTTTTTTTAAGTCTTTATCTGTCAGAGATGTACAGATATATAAAAATTTATTTGTTGGAGAAATGCCCCAATGTCTGGAATGTGCTTTTAAATACAACACACACACACACACACACACACACACACACACACACACAACACATACACATACACAAGTAGAGATATAAAAGACTGTCAAAATGTTTATAATTGTTGACACTGGAAAATGGGTATGTGGGAGTTCATTATAGTATTCCTTTCACTGCTATATATGTTTGAAAATTTCCACAATAAAAAGTTTTCCTTCATTTAGTTAACATATCATTAAAAAAATCTAATTTGTTTCATGTCATCACTTAAAGAGAACAATGTAATTTATCTTAGTTATTTACTTATATAGAGTTTAATTTAAATAAAAAAGTTTTATGACAGTAATATATTTAAATTGAAAAGCATAGAATATAGGCTTTGAGAGAAAATAACTTGGGGAAATATTTACAATACTAGAGGCCACATGCACAAAATTAGTGCAAGGGGCTTGGCCCTTGTGGCCCCAGCTACCTCTCGGCACCTCCCCCAGCCCCCTGGTCATTCAGGAAGTTCGTCTGGAAGGTCATTCAGCTGTCCAGTCTAATTAGCATATTAGCTCTTTATTATATAGGATGATATAATGTTTATTTCTTAAAAGTAAGATATAGCCCTAACCGGTTTGGGTCAGTGGATAGAGCGTCAGCCTGTGGACTGAAGGATCCCGGGTTCAATTCCAGTCAAGGGCATGTACCTTTGTTTCGGGCACATCCCCAGTAGTGGGTGTGCAGGAGGTAGCTGATCAATGTTTCTCTCTCATCGATGTTTCTAATTCTCTATCCCTATCCCTTCCTCTTTGTAAAAAATCAATAAAATATATTTTTTTAAAAAGTAAGATATAACATTGTATATATGTTTATATATACTTATATATAAAAATATAAGTATGTGCATAGAACAAAACAACACTAAAAGGAAATACACCAAAATGAAAACAAAATTTACCTCAGTAGAGTTTAAGGGTGATTTTTTTTTTCTTTTTTGATATAGTTATCTCTACTTACAAGTTTTCTAAAATGAGTATGCATCAAATATAATCAGAAAAAGAAAGCAAATATATATAAATAGCAATATAATTATGACAAGGCAGAATAAGTAGTCTGAATACTGTTCAAAAGAAAATAGACAATTAACTAAAACTTGCTACCCTAAACATTGAGCCTAAAGCAAGCCTTTGGTGGAGTTCAGTCTCATATGCCCTAAGATTCATCAGTGCACTGGAAGGAACCAACATACATTCTTACGCCTATAATTGGAGAAGGCTTTTTATTTGTGTGGAATCTTTTCAGAACTTATGTGACAAGAACTAGGATCTTGAGATTACTGTTTCCAGAGTTTTAAAATTCCCTGGGACTTCCCAGTAGATCTAATAAGTTTATCATTTTACCAGGGAAAGTCATTCCCAACAAAATAAAAAGCTATGTATACCCTGACCCAAGATTTCACCTCTTGGTTCTCAGTGCTAACCTTAAAAGCAAATTTCAGAAATTATTTTCTGTGATATAATTAAAAAAGAACCTCTTGCAGCAATATTAATTCTGTAAAACATACCTCCAATGACTCCTACAGTGTACTTACAATTCTTTTTCTAATAACTAAAGGTTTTATTTTATTTTCAAAAGTAATTGGTAATATACTTTCTTGCTAAAAACAATTTTTTAAGATTTTTAATTTAGCCCTAACTGGTTTTGCTCAGTGGATAGAGCGTTGGCCTGTGGACTGAAGGGTCCCGGGTTCGATTCCAGTCAGGGGCATGTACCTTGGTTGCGGGCACATCCCCAGTAGGGGGTGTGCAGGAGGCAGCTGATCAATGTTTCTCTTTCATCGATGTTTCTAACTCTCTATCCCTCTCCCTTCCTCTCTGTAAAAAAAAAACAATAAAAATATATATTAAAAAAAGATTTTAAATTTAATTTGAGAGAGAGAAGATGAGAGAGAGAGAAACAGCCACTGGCTTCCTCTTCCTGGTCCCCAACTAGGATTGAGCCCAAAACCTGGGCAAGTGCCCTGACCAACAATCAACCAGCAACCTTTCTGTGCATGGGACAACACCCATGCCAGGGTTTGATAAAATTCTTTGTTATAAAACCCCCAAACGGTACATTAGACGTATCACTGAAAGTATTAAAATGGTAATCAGTATTCAAAAGATTCTGAAAAAAATGTTCCTGAGAGGGAGAAAAATTTTACTTACTTTAACTTCCACCGTCTTCCCTCCATGTTCAATGTGTCTCTCTATGTATTCAGAGGACAGCAAATCACTGCAACAACAAAATAAAGGATGGTTAAAGAGGACTAGGAAATGTAACGCATTTGAAAATCAAGTTTACCCATACTAGCTTTAATGATTCATTAACTCCGACTTTAAAACAAAAATAAAGCTTTATAGGACTCTCTCTCTCTCTCTCTCTCTCTCTGACTGGCCTAATACTTCTAAAGGGTTATGAGGTTGAACTGACTACACCACCTGTCACCCCCTTGCTTAGCAGAGCTGATTCCACTGATCTTGTTGAAGAGTTCTAGGAAACTACCGGAAGCACACCATTATTATAAAGACATCTTCTTCCCTTTTTGCTTTAGCTTTTTATTAAACAGTTTTAACTTGCTACCATCCCTCACCATCTCTTTATGTGTTGTGTGTGATATTTTATCTGACAAAAAATTAGTTTCCATCACAAAAATAAAAAGGGGGCAAAGAATGCTAAAAGAAATGAAAAGAAATATAGCATTAGCAATAAAATAATCCCATTTTGAAATCTACTAAACAACAAACTTCTCATAGAATTTTAAACTATTTGCATCATCTTAAATGCACTTCTCTTTAATTCCATGTATGTGGAAAAAATGTCCCACACACTTTAATGGAAGTACCTCAAGACGCAATTTACACAAAAAGTATTGAAGTCTATTATTTTTAAAGCACTAAAATAAAATTAACATTAATAAAAATAATACATGAAGCTATAAATTTCTGTGGACCCTGGGACTGGAGATACCTACTAAGAAAGGCTCCTGGTGGCAAACTGAGCTCAAATTTAAAAGCAGAGCCTTGCAGCCATGTCTAAAAACAGGGCTCTCTCATTCAAACCGCACTGAACAGCCTGCCTGAACTGTGTTCCTGCCATCTGAGCCAGGCCTTATAAAGCAGTTCCTGGAATCCTATTTCAACCAATAAGACTGAGGCATCCCTGGTCCAAATGGAACCGTAAGGCTATATCCTTCTTAGCATCTTCACCAACCTATCAGAGTGGCTCCATGCTGATCAGTCCAGACAGTGCCTTTTGGACCAATCAAAGTGTGAGGATTTGGAGTCCTCATTTGCATGAGGACCGACTAATCAGAGACTGGGGCATGGACTTCTCTCTATATAAGTCAGCACCTCTCTGGCTCAGGCAGAGCACTTTCCCTTTTCACCAAAGACTGAAAACTGGAGTTGAAACACCTAAGACAAAGCACCAAAGACTTCTCACCAGACCAGAACAGAACAGAGCAACTGGAGCAGAGCAGGCAGAGCAGAAGTGTCTCTAGCCCAAGAGGGGCCTTGTCTGAGGACCGCCTCGCCCCAGGGCTGCCTCACCCCAGAACCATCTCACAGCCCTGCTGTTCCACAGCTGTGCTGTTTCATAATTGAGCTGTTTGCACTGAATAACGTTTCTTTTTTCACCACATCCCAAACTGGGGATCCCCGCTGGTGTTGAATTGATGCCAACCATCAGTTGATATTCTAAATCTACTTTATGAATAAACATTCAGCCAATTAAGAAAACCTTTTTCACAGTGTTCTGAAGGTCACCAAGCCAAAATTGTCCCAATTATAAAATAAAATAAAAAGTACATTTCTGAGCACACAGTCCTCCCATGATAAGCACCATAGTTACAGTTGCTTGAAATGTAAACAGACTGATCAAATGAGAGTCATATTAACATAGGCACCATAATCAGTTTCTACAGTATCTAATTCTTACATTACCATTTGGGGAAAATATCATCATTGTCTAAGCCCTTGTTTCATTTGTCTTTGGAATACATTTTCCTATTGATTTTTTAAGGAGGAACCAGCAAGGATGCTCTAAGCTGCAAGTTGCAGAAAACACAACTACACATGGCTCAAACAATCAGGACATTTATTTCTTATTAGAAATTTCAGGACTGGTGTGATGTGAATTTGCTTTTGTGAATCTTCAAGTCTGCTAAATGAATAAATTTGAAGTTTATAATAACGTAGGCAAACACTCTTAAGATATTTAAATATAGATAAGTAGCTAGTAAGCAAAATTTCATTAGACGTGGGTAAATTGCATTGGCTGTATAAAGTATAGGTAAGAAAATCATGTATGTTTTACACATTGATAGAAAGATATTTAATATTCATGATGCACCTGGTTAGTAAATGTTTATGATATAATAAATATACAAAAGACACTAAATAGCCAGGATACAAATTCAACCACCTATTGGTGACATCCAGGGTTCAGGATTCCTCAACTTCCACACTAATGACATTTTGGGTCAGATAATTCTTTGTCTTGGGAGCACCTTGGGAGCACCAGTCTGCATTCCCACCAACAGCACACAAAGGTTGCCTTTTCTCCACATCCTTGCCAACACTTGTTTGTTGATTTATTGATAGTAGCCATTCTGACAGGTACGAGGTGATAGATCATTGTGGTTTTAAGATGCATCTCTCTGATGATTAGTGATGTTGAGCATATCTACATATGTCTATTGGCCATCAGCAGGTCCTCTTTGGAGAAGTGTCTATTCAGATCTTTTGCCCAATTTTAACTGGATTATTTGTCTTCCTGATGTTGAGCTGTATAAGATCTTTATATATTTTGGAAAGTAACCCCTTATCAGATGTATCATTGGAAAATATGTTCTTCCATTCGGTGGGTTCCCTTTGCATTTTTTTTAGATGGTTTATTTAGCGGTGCAGAAGCTTTTTAGTTTGATATAGTCCCATATGTTTATTTTTTTTAGGATTGGTGTTATTTCTTCTTTGAATGTTTGGTAAAATTTGCCTATGAAGCCATGGGGTCCAGGACTGTTTGTTTGATGGGAGTTCTTTTTTGTTACTGTCTCAATTTCATTAGTTGTTATCTATTCAGGGCTTCTGATTCTTCCTGATGCAGTTTTGGAAAATTGCATGTTTCTAGGAATTTTTCCATGTCTCCCAAGTTGTCCAATTTGTTGGCATATAGCTGTTCATAGTGATTTCTTATAATCCTTTGTATTTCTGTGATATCAGTTGTTACTTCTCTTTCATTTCTGATTTTACTTATTTGGGTTCTCTCTCTTTTTTTTCTTGATGAGGCTGCTTAAATAATTGTAAATCTTATTTGTATTTTCAAAGAACCAGCTCTTGGTTTCATTGATCTTTTGTACTGCTTTTTTAGTTTCTATGCCATTTATTCTTTGAAACAAAATCATTTTAAAAAAAGACAAAATACCTCTCAACAACATGCTCACATATTCAATTCCTAGGAAGATGTGAGCATATAAAGGGCACTTGATCCCATGGCACTTCAAGTCTTATTATGAAAACAAGAAAATATAAGGAACAGATCTGAAGGCAATGTATTATTGAGAGCCTCAGTAAATGGAACTGACAGTAGGCACGTAGAATGCACAAAAAGAAAAGATCTCTGAGAATTAGAACAGTCAGGTCAGGGTTCATGAAGGCTGTAAGACTTCATTCTTAGAAGGTGGATAGAATGGAGAGGCAGAGAAGGACATTTCAAATGAGAGGAATAACAAAAGCAGACTTGTAGCAGAGGAAAAACTACAAGTGACTCCAGAGGTAGAGAAACGATAAGCCTATTTAGAGTTGAGGGTTCAAGTTGTGGAAATAGTACTAACAGCTAGTATGTGTGCCAGGCACTGTGCTAGGTGCTTTAAATGCATTAGTAGCTCACTAAAGTACACAGACAACTGATGAGGTAGGTATACATATGATCTCTTTTGGTAGGCAAGGAAACGGAAGTGTGGAAAGGTCAAGTGGGACGCCCAGCTGGTCAATGATAGCACCAGATTCATTCCCAGGTAGGTCTCATTCCTGAGTCCATGATTTGAACAACCACATCTCTCTTTTAACAGAAAAGCATAAAAAGAGACTGCTGGGGATTTTATCATAGCCAATGTACATGAAAGGACTATTCAAGATGAAAGTCCTATTAAAAATAACCTAACTGCAGTAGGTAGAGATGATTAGCAAAGAAGATTCATTATAAAAGTGTCTCTATTACATGAGTTAGAATGAATTTCTCCAACTTAGGATAGATTTGTGAAAAATGCCACATATTCATTTATGTGTGTGCTGTCACTATGAGAAATCTAATAGAGTAGATAACATGGAAATTCATCAGCACTTTAAAAAAGCCATCATCATCATAATCACAGATGATATGTAAACCTATTATAGATAACATGGAAATTTATCAGCACTTTAAAAAAGCCATCATCATCATCATAATCACAGATGATATGTAAACCTATTACCCCTAATCCAAAAAGGAATTGTTTCTATGTTTATTTTAAATTACTTTCTTCAAATAATGGAATTAGCAACAGCTTAACTAAGAATGAAACTGCAGTTTAATATCTGAGAGTTATAAAGGGCAACAATATGACTACAATTTTGCAAAGCATTTAAAATATTTACTTTTTAATAGACTGCATATTGTTTAGCTTCCCTATTTTAATTTCAAAAAGAAATACTTCTCCTTGGATTTAATGCAAGCCATATTGTAGCAACAAGAGCAGTATATTTGATTTCTATAATGCACATGCACAAAAATAGATGAATAGAAGTATCTCTGATGCTGGCGATGGAAATTATTTTCCCTGGGCTCTCTTGTACTTCTAAATGGTATGCATACAGATGGAAAACTCTCCACAATTTCCATCCACATATGGACATGTGTGGATATGCATGGATGGAGTTGAAATGCTCTTCTTAAAAGTATTTTGCTTATACCTTTATTCAACGTTTTCGCTGATTCAAATAGGAAACAAATGTATATTTCTAAGTGTATGTTTTTAATAATATGGAATGCTATAAACTCTACCATGGAAAGTAGCTAATATCCATGTTTCAGGTAAGAAATGGCTCTGTTGTTGGAAATTGCAGATTTGAAATACAGTGTATACAGCTACCATCAAGCATTCAGAGGAGAAAATCACAGGTCAGCTACTTGAAAAGTGACCTTTGTGTAGAGAAGTGAATGTCATCCACCTTCTTGCTACTGGTAGCAACAAATTT